ACAAAATTTTAAAAGATAAAAATCCCATAAAATCACACTTTTCTTTTCACATAGTAAACTCTACTGAGGATAAAATTAAAAAACAGCAGAGAACACATTTCCCATGTTAGTTTAGTTATTGACTTAGGAATTTTGAGCCTACCAAGTTGCAATATTTGGTTGTTTACAGAACAATATTTGCTGAGAAATTTCTCTGTCACCAATTCACATAATGTATTTAATGAAAAGACATTATTACACAACAAGGCACTTGTTTTCTATGCATATGTCCTATTACATGGATTAAGTGACATGGGGGCTGAAATAGTGTTGTAGAATTAAGAATTGAAGAAACAAGAATACAGAGATGCTACAACACCTATAAATGGATCTGAATTGGCCTTAATATTGCATTCTGGAGACCTAAGATATTAGTTGGAAATTAATTGAATACTTAATAATGAATTATTTAGAACCTAATAGTTTTAAAGTGATCATAAGCTGCATAAGTGGAAATGGCTGTGCATATTGCTTTGTATAGCTGTGTGAACTGTAGCTTATCCTTTGCAACTTTACATGCTTGAAAGGTTCATACTTCATTCTTCTTTTTTGAGACAGGATCTTGTGTTGTTCATACTGGCCCAGAACTTGTAATCCTTCCGTTGCAGTTTGGCTTATGGTACGAGATTACAGGAGTGTAGCACTATACCTTGCCTCACTCCTTTTTATTTAGGGAAAACCAATCACTCAAATCCTTTAAGAAACTTGCTCTTAAAGTCTACTCCATTATTGCAATTGAGGATACAGCTAGCCATGCACTTCTTCTCTTGGTCACAACAGGAGTGATACCTAGACACAGAGAAAGTCTCCTAAGAAGCTGAGTATTAACTTTTTAAATGGTTCTTAGTCTCTTGAATTTGATCCAGAATGGGAAACTTTAGGCTACAATAGAGAAAAAAGAAAACCATGACCAATCCGAACTATCAGTGCACAAAGAGAGATAAGAGGACATGGAGAATATGAAAGTGTGTTGCAGCAAGTCAAATTCTGGTAATAAATGGCTTTGTGAAGCAAAATGATTTAAAAGGCCTGTTCCTCAACTTGAATGGACATTTATTTGGATGTTACCTTGTCTTGCAGTGACTATTCCATTTTCAGTCTGCTGCAAATAACTGAATTAACCCCAGGTCTGCATTCCCCAGCTGTGTGAAGCAGTGGGCTGAGAAAGCTATGAGGTACTAGCTGGGAAGCAATGTCCCCACATGGCTTCTGGTTTTCTTGCTGCCTCCATGTTCCTGCCTTGGCATTTCATGATGATATCAAACAAACCCTTTTCTCTCTAAGTTATCCTTGGTTTTGTATTTTATCACAGCAAAAGAAATCTATATATTACACTAGGTGGGAGTTGCAAGGAACAGGAAAACAGAAGCACCTATTTGAGAAGTAAACACCCTTCTTTAGGAGCTTGAGGAAGTGAGGCATAAAAATGAAATACTAGTTGATTTTTTTCCATTGAGTTAAGAAGAAGTAGGGAAGTATTGTATTTGGGATTTGTGAATACAGGCTGCGCTTTAGTCTATTGTAAATATGCAATTTTAATAAATCAGACATCTCAACCAAGAAGGGCAAATGCTACTTTCCTTGAGGATATTTGTATTTGAACCAAGCACCACTTTGAAGATACACACTTAACACCATGTAGCAGGTTCAGTAATGGGCGTGCTCTGAACTTGTTAAAGTTCCTAGTTATTTTAGAACCTGGTCATTCTAAATAATACTTAGTTGGGAGTTTGACTCTGTTATTTAATCTGGCATCTTTCCACTATGCTTCTTGCTTATTCAATAAAGAATGAGTATCTGACACATATAATTAAAATAAAGCTTATTTAATTCCATAGATAGCAGTAGTGAAAATATTACAGTATCAATGGTCATTGACCAATGAATGTGTGACAACCAAGTACTTAGACTTTATCAATTTCACAGCATCAAGTATTTGAGTGTTCTTTTTATAGTCACTCCAAGTTACAGACAAAGAATATGAGGGTAAGGGAGGTGTTAAGGCTTGTCCAGCATCTTGTGATTAATCAGCTGCAGATGGAGGTCTGGATTTTCTAATCTTGGCTCTCATTAACTTTCTCACTACCCTCTACAACTGCAGTAGGAATATCATGCACAATGAAGTATTAGCTGCCTGGCACCAGTGTAATGAAATGTTTATCTTATTCTATACATTTAATAAGGCAAGGATGATTTTAAATGAATGAAGTTCATATTTATTTTAGAAATACTAAATATTTCTTCCTCACATTTTTGTTTTCATTTTTAACAGTGTGTTTGTATGTACGTGTGTGTATGTGTGTGTGTGTGTGTGTATTTGTGTATGGGTAAGTGTTCCCATGTGCACATATTTATAGATGAAGTAGGCAAAAGGAGGAATCCTGTGTGCCTCTTTGTCTTATTCTGTCAGACAGGGTTTCTCAATGATCCTGGAGAACACTAATCCTGCTGGACCAGCTAGCTACAGTTATCTCCACTATGCCTCTGCCCCCTGCTACAAGACTTCCATGCCTGGGTTTTTAGGTAGGTGCTGGAAATCCACACTCAGATACTAGCAGCCGTGCAAAAATCACTCTTCCTCCCAGAGACATATCTCCATGCTCTTTCACTCTTAATGACTCTACACTTTCTACCACAAATTGTCTAGGTAAAGTAAAGCTTGAGTTTGTAGGATAAAGTGTCATACCATGCTATACCAGAATTAGAAGTTTCTATCTACCACTATTTTTTTATTTTGAGCATAGATAATGAGTTCCAAGTTCTGTGCATGGGTCTTCTAAGGTTAAACAGTTTCTCTAGCTGAGATGGCAATTCTCGGATGACCATGAACAGCACAAAAACAGCTGAATCAGCTCAGAGCCTTGCTTGACACAAACAGCAAAGGTCATCAGAGAAAAGCAGAACCAGAGACTGGCCAGTCTCAAAGGGCAAAACAGAGAAGCACACTCAGGGCACGGCTAGCTGTCCTTGGGTCTCTTCTTTTTTAGGCATGGTTTTAACTTCCTGTTCTTGGGTTTTGTGAGAAGTGTTCCACCTGAGCTGAAAATCTCCTTCAGATGGATTTTTCTGTAAGATTATCTACTTAAAAAATACAGTTAGCATTCTTAATTTAGTCGGTCTTACAGGGTGTTTTTATTTAAACATTATAAGCAAATGGCACTGACTCAAGAAAACCAAACACAAATTTGAGTCTTTATTGGTTTTTATAATACTTATTATTTTCAGATTGTGATTTACCTAGTGTAGGTTCATTTAAAATAATTATATATACTACAATGCCAATATTTTGTTTAATTGTGAGTCATATTTTACCGATGGCTTTGTGCCGGATCCTCCTGCAGGTAGAGCTGGGGAAGGGCTGGTCCAGCTGGTTTCTTCCTGGGTTTGAGAGGTAAGGTCCGTGTCCATGACTCAGACTCCCCTCCCCTTAGTTACCGGAGAGAAAGCACACACTGAGTGGGGAGACTTGTGAAGCAGGATCTCAGTTTATTCCAACAGGCAGGAACTTATATAGGGCTGGGGTAGGGGATGGGAATCTTAGGATGGGGTAAGGTGACGTGAGGAGTTAGGTCTAATGATATTCCACCAAGCTGGCAGATAGCCAGGCAGGGGGAAGTCCTACATCAGGCCTTGCTGAGTCATACCCACATGGGGGGCTACAGGCCAAAGACAGGTCATCAAATTCTAGCCAGGCTCAGGAGGTTACACTGGGTCTCATATCCTAACGCCTTTGCACCCGAGCATTTTAAGGCCCAACAGCTTTGTTAAATCATGACTAGAGATAATTTGTGAGGTATCTTTGCAGTTCCCAAAGACATTGTCTCTTGAGCATCCATAAAAATATCACAATTTACATAACTTGAAACAATAGTAATTTGTTTCTCATAGATATGCAGGCCAGAAGTTTAAAATCTCCCTTTGAAGCATTCAGCAAAATTGCTGTATGTATTTCTCTTAGTGTCTGATATTGATGACAGTACTTGACTTTCTTAGTTTTAAAGGAAGATTGTTTCATATCTGTTTCTGTAGCCCCATGGTGCCCCTTGTCAATGTCTTAGTCTTTGTGTATTTTTATCTTATAAGGACACCTGTTAGATTTGGATTTGGACCCACATTCAATATGAGTCCATCCTAATTGAGTTATATCTGTAGAGAATTATTTTCTAAATAAGATTGCATTCATGGGTATATAACATTAGAACTTTAGGGTATTTTTTGTTGTTTTTTTTCTGAACTCAATTCATTCCTCAATAATCATCGAGTAAGGCAGTCAGATCAAACAGATGCCATCAACAGTAATCTAAGGTCTTGTATCAGTTCAATGACATTTGTGAGATCATAGTCAAATGTACTGTGAGACCATAGTCAAAATTATGCAACATTGATAGATTTCAAATGATCTTCATGTTTGTTGTGGTAAGAAAACAGGTTGTCAGATTTTCCTAGATGTTCTGGTTAGTTTCTGTCAAGTTAATATAAACCTAGATATGTCTTGCTTGGAGTAGGAATCTTAAATGAGAAAATATCTCCAGTAAATAGGCTAGTAGGAAAGTCTGTAGGACATTTTCCTGATTAATGATCGATGAGCCCAGTTTGGGTATTGTCCAGGGCTGTTAGCTTTGACTGGTTTGGGAACGCAAAATGAGCAAACTATGGAGTCCAAGTGTATGTGCAGTGTTTTTTCATGGTTTCTGCCTCGAGGTTTTGGATTGGCTTTAGCTGATGATAGACTATAACCAGTAAACTAAATAAACCATTTCCAAGTTCCTTTTGGTCATGATATTTAATCATAGCAATGGAAACCTAACTAAAATACCTGGTAACAACTGTGTTTCACGTAAAAACAGAAGGACAAATTTAAAAAACAAATGTACTTCCAATTTCATAAGATGATGCATGAAAAGTAAGTTCCAATTCTGTTGTTGATAATATTTCAATCCATATAAAAACAGAGAATAATTATACTTACCTGGCAGACGAGATACCATGATCACAATGATGGTTTTCCCATGCCAAGACTTAGCTATTACACTCCAGATATGTTAACCTCTCTGATTCCCCCAAATCTGGGAAATCTAACTGTATAATTTGTGGTTGTAAAGGACTGTGTTCATGCTCTCCCCTTAAAGAGAAAACAAGATATAACAATGTATGGTATTTGGGACTTGTGAATATAGAAAATCTCACTAGTAATTGGGGTAATCTCACAGTGACCAACACTGTCACTGTCTGTTCAGTGAATGAGGCTGTAAAACCAGTGGCTTACTGTTTTATCGAATTCATCTGTCTCAGTGGGGAGCAAAGGCCATCTTTAAGAATGATTAGTAGCCATAAGACAGCTTGCTACGAAATTAAGAAATGCCAAGAAAAGAAACAAGAAGGAAGCGACTATAACCATGGAAACAGAAATGAAAGGCATGCAACAGAGTAATTTTGGAACAAGAGTTGAGAAGCAAGTCAAGGATTAGCAACTAAATGTTCCAACAATGCTTACCTGGAAAAGAGACAGCAGACAAACACTGCATTGCAGATCCTTAGGTCCACAGAGCATGAGTTTGAATCCCAGGATGAGGAGTTAAAAAAGGGAGACAATTTGGAAAGAGATAAAAAAGGAACTGAAATACCTTAGAATAAATGCAACTAGAGAGTACTCGAGAATTTGCATAAATAGAGACAGAGCCCCACATGTCAAATTGGACATAGTGGGATATGAAAATTTAAAAAGAGGGTGTGAGGGTCAGAACAGCACTTCCTGGATTACTGGGGACATGGTGAATGACGGTGATCAACATCTGTTCAGGAAGTTCTTAGAAATAAATGAAATTTTAACTAAATAAGATAATGTGCAGATAATATACAGTGAACTAACTAGAAAATCAAGTAAAACAAGTATAAGAAAAAAAGAGACAAAGGCAAAAAAGAGTGTAAGTAAAATAAGTTGAGGTCAGGGAAGTAATCACTAGAAACAATATTGTGAGTTTTCTTCAGACTGAGTCTGATAGTGAGTATACTCGCTCGTAGTCAAACATTGTCAATCTTTCTCAGCCATGCACCATCCTCAGGGAGCATGTTGGCCAAAAGTTACATGCTAAGTAAGACAAGGGAACACTTCTATCAGTTTAGAGAAGGCAGTGGTGTAAATTTTAATGTAGCATTTTCAGAGATACTTTGCAGGACAAATAAGCTCACAGAGTATACTAATTCTTGCTTTCTTCCCCTTAAAAGAAGCAAAAGTATAAAGCATGGTGATGCAAACCACTCATAAGAAATTAGTTGAGGGACAGAGAGGTGACTCATCAGGCTACAAGCAATTGGTGCTCCTGTGAAGGAACTTGGTTCAGTTCTAAGCACTCTCCCTGTGGCTAACAACCATCTGAAACCTCAGTTCTAGAGAATCCAATGACCTCTTCTAACCGCTGAGGGCTCTGTTCACACACAGTACCCCATCATACATGTGGGAAAAACGGCATAACACAAAATACCAATATATCTTTAAAATAAATACATTGGGGAACTGCCTAGCCACACTAAGTACATATCTCTAGTGTAGTTGAAAGGTAGGATGCCAATGCCCTAATATTTCTTGCCATTATTATAAGAAACAATATCAACAAACAATTTATATCCTCGCACCTATGCTTAGGGGAAATGCTGTCAAACATCATTTTGGGGAGTACTACTAGGGGTCAGTGTTGTGGTGGAATTATAGTAAAATAGTTCATGCTAAAAGTACATTTCCTGGAAGAAATACTAATGGTATGTTCTGCTTCCTAACTGAGGTAATCATTTGAAGTGTTTTTTTAGAAGGAATTCCAAAAATCTTAGAATGTATATATATTTAAATAGTAATATAATCTTCAAGCATGATTTACTGAAGAGCCATGTCAGTGTGCCCCTCAACTACTGTACCAGGATTTAAAGCATACAAAGTGTAGCCAACAATGGGTGATAACATTTGCCTACTGTGTAGTTACAATTTATTTTATTAATATTTTATCATGATTTTGTTATTATAATGTAAGTTTGAGCATGTCTTTAAGGTTATTCTGGGAAATTCCTATTTATCATTTTCATAATTCTAATTTGTATGTAATTACCTATAATTTTGTTGTATACTTAGAAGACAGTTTTGAGATATATTTTAGACATCAATCTAACAACTTCTACATGTTTAGAAAATTCCACTTAAAATGTATTATCTATATTTAACTTTTTCATTAATTAAAATTACGAGTTTATAAAGTTGCATATTTATCTCATGGCACAGCTATATCTTTAGGGAACAGAAAAAGTCATGTAGGCAGGACAGCTAGTTGCTTCACAAATATCCAGCAAAACTGAGCTGCATAATTGACACCATGACACTTTTGATTTCCATGTGCTGCATGCTTTTGGGGAGGGGATTTTTAAGATTTGCATAATCAGTTACTGGATGAAGCTCTATGATGATAATTGGGGTAATCACCAATCTGATTACAGGGAAGGCCAATTCGGGCATCCTATCGACTATTGCTAGGAGTATTACCTGGGGTCCTTCTTGTGGATTCTTAGGAATTACCCTAACATCAGGTTTCTCCCTAACCCCATAGTGACTCTCTCTATTAAGGTATCTCTTTCATTGCTCATCTACAGCATGCCTTCCCCTTTTGATCATCCAGTTTCCTCAAGTTCTCATCCTTCTCACCTGTCCTTTACCACCCCCTGGCCCCAGTTTAACCCATAGTCCCACCTAATTTATCTTTCTAGAAAGGTTTATGTGTTCCTCCCAGGGTACTTTTTGTTACCTAGCTTCTCTGGAGCTATGGATTGCAGTCTGGTTATCCCTTGCCTTACTTCTAATATCCACTTATGAGTGAATACATACTGTGTTTGTCTTTCTGATTCTGGATTCCCTCACTCAGGATGATCTTTTTTAGTTCCAGTCATTTGTCTGGAAATTTCATGAGGTTATATTGTTTTACCCCCAAGTAGTTTTCCATTCTGTAGATGTACCACATTTTCCCTCTCCATTCTTCAGTTGAGGGGCATCCAGGTTTCCATGTTATGGCTATTATGCATTATGCTGCTATGAACATTGTTGAGCAAATGTCCTTGTGGTATAATTAAGCATCCTTTGGGTGTATGCCCAAGAGTGGAATCACTGGGTTCTTAGGTAGACTGATTCCCAACTTTCTTAGAAATCACCATACTGATTTCCAAACTGGCTGTACAAGTTTGCACTCCCACCAACACTGAAGGACTGTTCTGCTACTCCACATCCTCTCTAGCATAAGATGTCCTCAGTATTTTTTATCTTAGCCTTGCTGGCAGGAGTAAGAGAGTATTTCAGAGTCATTTGGTTGGCATTTCCCTGATAATTAAGGGTGTTGAGGACTTCCTTAAATGCCTTTTGGCCATTTGATAGTCTTCTGGTATGAATTCTTTGTTTGGTTCTGTACCCATTTTTCTATTGGATTATTTATTATTTTGATTTCTAGTTCCTTGAGTTCTTACTATACATTGGAAATCAGCCCTTTATTAGATATGGAGTTGGTGAATATCTTTTCCCATTTTATAGGCTGTCATTTTGTCCTTTGTGTAATGAATATTTTCAGTTTCAGGAGGTCCCATTTATTTATTGTTGCTCTCAGTGTCTGTTCTATTTTTGCTATATTTAGGAAGTGGTCACCTGTGCCAATGCATTCAAGGGCTACTTACTACTTTCTCTTCTATCAGGCAAAAATTTCCTAGGAATCATTCATGCCTCTTCCCAAGAGTACTGCTTCTAGGCTTCTTCATGAAAATCCCAAGTCTACTACTCCTCCTCCTGCTTTTAGCGAGACATCCATATCTACTTGAGGTCTCCATATGCTTTGGATATTATGATGCACATAAAGAAGTCAGAGGTCTCTTTATGAGACTCTGAGTTTTCTTGAAACATCTGCCCCTGTATTTACTCAGGAACAAGATAATCAAAACAAAGTAAACTTAAAAGGTCAATGAGATTCAGTGGGCTAGAGGATTTGGCCGAAGATCAGATTGCAAGCCTCGTCCTACTATATGCTCTGGTGATTTTATGGCATATACAGCAACAAATTTAGATTAGCTGAAGTTATCTCTGCTCTACACAGAGACTCATATTGATGAACAAAGAATTATGAGGAAAGATGATAAAAAATGTTTGTCATAAACTCCCATTCTTAGAAAATTTAACTTGTGCATTGCCACCGTTATGTCATATGACCAAGATACAACAGAATTCCAGGGTTAGGAAAGCAAACAAGCTCTATAAATAAATAAAATGTAAACACTGTATTATGCAGTGTATTAATTGATAACTGAAACAGCTTTGGCCTGAAGGTTTTCCTTGGACACTCTGACCATTAATAGTTAGTAATACGCGCCACAGTGCCTGGGCTATCTTGGAGAGTTTTCTTTCTGTCTGTCTAGCATTTCTGAAGCCACAATAGCTACCAGTCAGAGAACAGGCTGTCATATGACTCTAGATTGTTGAAAAGTGGGTTATGGGTTTGATGAATAAAAATTGTTATAAAAGATAACTGTATAAATGTTGATTAGCCTTGAGCAAAATGATTGTACAAGGTAACTCTATTCTGGCACAGATTATCAATGATGACCAAAATTGTGACTCCAGATGTTCATGGGAAAAAAAAACATTAAACAGATGACCAGAAACCAATGATATGTTCTATGTTTTGGACCAACATGATTCTATCCCTGCTTATTGAATCCTGTATAAAGAAACTTTCTGACTGCTCATTAGGCTGAAAGATTCTCGTCATCATAATGATCTTGCTCAATCTTTCCCCCACTTACTCCTTTCCTCCTCCCTGGAACCTGTCACCCACTGTGACTGGCCACTTGTAATTTCAACTAGATTTTTGCTGTGAGGAAAAATTCTAATAATATATCCAATTTAACTAATGAGCTTTTTTGGTATTTTTCATATAAAAGGTTTATAGTTTATAATTTGCATGCCACAAATACATAGTACACATGCATAAACTCCCCAGTAGCATGTGTTTACTTAAGTTGTGAAATATATACTAAATGAATTATGAAATTCTCCATTGTATTTATTTGACATCCTCTAACATTTGAATTATTTTTCTTATCATCACTGCC